TCCTTACTTCATCTATCATATTTCTCTCGCTCGATAAAAGCGACCAACGAGTGACGACGAACCATCGCATATATGAATAAATACGCGACACGTGTATCCATCCCCGGTCCGCACGGGAATTCAGAACTCGGCGAATTCCTTGGCGCACTTCTCGGTCAGCGAAATCCTGAGCGTCTCTTCCTCGTAGTCGTCGAAGTTGCTGGTGTCCCCGGGCCCTTTGCATTTCGGTATAAACGGGGCCTCGATTTTCTTTTGGAAGACCGCTATCCAATCGGTACTGGCGAACCACTTGTGACCCTTGATGTCGTTCACGCCGGCCTTCAGGTTGCCGTACCTCTTGGTCAAGTCGACCTGCAGCAGGTTCCGCAGCAAGTCCTTTAGATCGGAACCGAAATGCGACGGGAACCGGGGCTTCCCCGAGACGATCTTCTCATAGATTAGTATCGGCTGGTCGGCAAAGAACGGCGGGTAACCGGCGGCCATCTCGTAGACGAGGACGCCTAGCGCCCACCAGTCGACAGCCTTGTTATATCCTTTGCTGAGGATGATCTCGGGCGCTAGGTACTCAGGCGTGCCGCATAGGGTCCACGTTCTGCCCTGCACCCTTTTCGCGAAACCGAAATCCGTGACCTTCAGGTAGCCCTGCGAGTCGATCAGCAGATTCTCCGGTTTCAGATCCCTGTAGATCAGGTCGAGGTAGTGGAGATACTCGAACGCGAGCACGATCTGCGCCGCGTAGAAACGGGAATGCGGTTCCGTGAAGCGGCCGACCTTACGCAGGTGGCTGAACATCTCGCCACCGGGGACGTATTCGAGCACCATGTACAGGTACGAGTTATCCTTGAAGTGAAACCGCAAGGATACTAGGAACGGAAAGCTGATCGCTTGCAGTATCCTCTTCTCATTTAAAGTGTGTTCGACCTGCTTGAGTTTCACGACCTTTTGCTTGTCGAGTATCTTCATGGCGTAATACTCTTTGGTCGGCTTGTGTTGCACTATCATGACACGGCCGAACGAGCCGGTCCCGAGCGTCTTGATACGCTCGAAGTCATTGAGATCGGCGGTGTTCGTCGGGTTCTTCTTCCACTTGTCCTCGAACTCTTTCTTTGCCTTGTCGAGAAACTCCTTGACGCTCTCGGCGGCGTCAACCTTTTTGTTCGCGGTCGCGGCATTGTTGCCCATCTTAGCAGCCGCGCTCGTACCCGAGCCTGCCAGGGCTCTACGCAGCTCGAGAAGTTCCAGAAGACTGCGTCTTCGTCTTGATTTGGTCTTCCACCGCAGTTGCGCCCGTCAAGGCCCCGCCAACCTCCGGTCCTTTTCAGAATATATATATATTTGTTTCCTACCTTCTATGAACACTTCTTAGACACCTTTTGCACGGTCTTCTTTCACACACGCGTTCCTTTTTTATTGTCCTCTCCCCGTTCGTCCAATGAGTTAAGGTAGTCCGTCAGGATGCCTGTCAATGCTGGCCCTAAAAGATTCACACACGTCTAAAGGGACACTCACACTTAGAATCGGACGCACACGCGTACGGTGCACCACCGTTTTTCTTTTTATTTTTATTCGGTTTCTTATTCGGATCGATTCACTTAATTAGAACTGAGTTACTATTCGCACTTTGTTCTAACTTTAGTGGTCCCTTTATCGTACGACAAAGTAAGAACGAATGATTTCGCGCGGAAAAATGGGTCAGCATTAATCCTCGCCCGCACCTCGCGCCATCTTTCCTGTCAATTGTGCTAGACCGTCGTCGCTGTCGTTCGCTACGGCCACCTCTCGATACTTCCTCTCCCTTTCTTTTTATTCCTGTCTTCCGATACGCAGCCTCGGAACACTCGCAAAGTCGGACGTAGCTCGTTCCCCACTCGCTCGGACAAATCAAAACACTACACACTCCGGTTGTTTCACGGTGGAACGTACCAAGCGGCGGAATCTGTAATTAGATGATAGTTTTAAACAGGGGTTCGAACGAAGCGCAAAGAACGACGTCGGACCTCGGATCGTTCTCAACCCTCGGTACACGCTTGTGGAAACGTCGTCTGCTGAACTTACACGGCACGCACACACACACAGAGAGAGACAGAGGCTCGGACGTTATTAAATGAACATCGCGAAACGGTTAAATACCCGCGTCTCACTCCGTGACAGGTATCAACGTATGCGCTATCGCACTGAACACACCGATCGTTTTACTGTAACCGCGAAACTGACTTTCAAGCTCGTCGGAACGAAGCAGGCGGTGGTAGCGGAGGCAGTCGGTACCGTTCCTAAAGATGGCGACGCGGCTCTCTCTCTGCCCGTTCGTTCGGGATTTCGCACGGATGTGAAAATGACGAAGTGCCGCTCTAGGAAGCAAGAGAGATACTGTGCTGCACTGATCGACCATTGCTTCAGCTTGTCGCCGATAGATGTAGCACGAGCGAATTTCACGGGCTAGTCGGGAAGTGCTGCCGCCAAGCGAAAGCGTCCACACACTTTGAATTCAAAGTGAGATGTTTCTCTCACGAATCGTCCAAGGTTCTTGTATCGAATGATGAAATGTTTCGTATAACCGTTCGTGCCACCTTTTTAATGGGAAATGGAACTCGTTGAGTCAGGCGGGGAAGAATTTCTAGTACGTTGTGAATAACTCCTTAAATTTGAGACCAAACCCTATCGTTTTAAAAATGACGACAACGTGTTAATGATATTAATAACTGAAATTGAGACTGTAGTGCTTTTAATTTTCCGTAACACCAAAGTGATCCTCGGAATTGTTAATTATATTGAAATTAACTGCTTATATTGAATTTAACAAACTTTTATAAATTGTTCGTATTTTTGTATCTATATTAGTCGGTATGCTTAATGCATACTACAGTTTTGAGTAAAATGTATAATTTATGTACTTAATACTCTTCATATCATCAAACTCACGTTAAAATTAACGTATTATATCTTCGTTAATTCATAGTGAAATTCTGATTTTCATCGTACAAAGAAAATGGAAGAGGTTATGACGCCTGTTCGTGGCCAGTAATAAAGAGAAAATTCGATTTCGTTGCCTTTAATTATGGTGAAGTGGTTATATTGTTATAAGCTGATACCAAGTCGTGTTTATTACCAATTTGGTAGTTTCATCGCTATTAATAATAATCGATCTGTTTTGTGGTATTGAACCGTGGTATGCACACGGAAGGTTGAACACCCGATGACCTGTGATAATCCTTTGGCAATTAGTTCGTAACTGTAGATAAGCATACAGGCACAATTTTAGAGCGGTAGATACGGTCGAGAAAGCTAGGTGGAGTCGACGGAGGACGGGACGAACCGGTTACCACCGAGTCAAAAAGGTATGACCAGGTCAGGCCTTTCGGATACACAGTATTTTTGTGTGTAGTTCCGGCACATTGTACGCCAGGCTAGATAAAGGTGGCAAAAGACATTTCTATCGAGGTTACGTTCGAATCTGTTTTCTTGCATCAATCTCAGTTTGTTTCTACCCTATGGGATGCGCGCGACCACGCGCTCTATTGATTCCATGACCTGAACTGAAAACGGTGTGCCAATTTGTCGAAGGAAAGTAAAATCGACTATTTACTCACATTATCCTTTTGTTCAATATTATTTTCGGAACATCCGTTTAATTTTTGATAAACTTGCAATATTATTAATAATAAAACATGTATAATAAATTTATCACACACAAGAAACTACGACCCAAACAAGATAGTATTTGTATTGAATTATAAATATAAAAATTTGAACAATCATGTTCTCGTATTTTAAAACGTAACGTCGAGACAAATTCGTAAATTTTCTGAATCTTCCGCTTTTTGGTACATAAAGGTATAAGAACGTGTATAATAGACTATAGTATGGTAAATAAGGGCACATCAAGAAAAGTGGGATTTTAGTCCAGCGAAATGAAAATTTAGATGCGTGATGCTATCTTTAGTTTGACACTGCAAAGCCAGTAGAAATATAGGTTACTGTCATCGAAATAGCTTGTGGCTGAACACTTCCACTGACCCACTAAAACGAAATTTAATTTTATCAAGTAAAGCTGCATGTTAACAGATTCCTGCCAACTTTTGATTATAATATTTTAAACTGTATAAAAGTTTAATAAATAAATACGTATGCTGGAGAAATTTGTAAATTTAATTATAAGAGTAATTGTTCCATTATATTCGTATTATTTAAACGTAGAATGTAGAAAAAAACTAATTGCACAGGTAGCATGTTCTTCTTCCTGTATAAATGTCGCGTGTTTTATGCCCTCCATGTGTATCATAAATAGAAGTGCACTAGAAACGTCGAGCGTATACGCCTTCCTAGTGGAAAGTTTCATTGACATCCCAACTCGATTTGGCATGAGTGTGTGTTCAATGTTTCACCGTGTAAAAGGTATTCGAAAAGAAGCATCTGCTTCGCACGTCTTCACCTGCACTGTACAAAGCAGCTGCTGGTGTTATCTTTATGCTTACGTAGACTCCTGGTACGTGGCATACAAGGTAAGACAAAATATACATTTATGAACTGCTTAATCTGATACGTTTGCATGATCCACGCGAATATGAGAATTAAAAATCCATGCAACGCTCGATCATATATCTAGAGGCAATATTTTACACTTAAATTTTCTAGAACAACGCAATAAATTTTAGGAGTTTTTATATCATAATATTAAAACATGTTTTCCTGTTATTTATACAAAAAAAAGTCAAAGTATCCTCGATATTGATGTAATATACAAAGTTTAAAAAGGCAATAAACACAGTGATATTTTTCTACTTGAAACAACACTTTCTAAAAACTTGTATATGTGTTGAGTAATTTTATATAAATTTATTATTGATGTAGTAATAAGTAAAATATACACATATGATACATATAATGAGTAGTCGTGTAACAATAAAGAGAATATTAGTGTAGAGGATACTTTCATCGTTAATAAAAGCTATTCTCAGAACGTTTCATTTCAACCAACGTCGACAATAAAAGGAAATAATATTGCAGTGTAAAGGAAAAGTGATATTTTACTGTTTCACAGTAAAGGCAACCTGTAACATGGACGTAAATGCAGCGGAGCCTTTCGGTCGGGTGCGCGGATCAACCTGAAAGCATCGCGCACCTTTTAATATACACCGGAAATGGGGCCATACGCGAAACTTCTAGAACTTTTCGAATCTTAGCTTTCGTTTAAATTTCGTGTATCGCCTCTGATGCGAAAAAAATTTCGCTCAATCGTGACCAACGTCCCAAATCGTGCACAATATTCATTAGTTATCACTTTTGAAACAATGTGGAAGAAAATAGAAGCTCTTCAAACAATTCGTTGCTAGCGCCGGAAGCGCAGGGATTTTTTACGCGTTTTACAAGCAAGATCCAATTGGTCGGTGTACTACTTGGAGGGGCATTAACAAAGCAATAGTAGTAAAGTCACTACTACCACGAATCTTCAACTACGTAACTATTGGCAAGGTTAATTATATCTATTGTAACCTTACATTTGTAATATTATCTGCATCAAATAAAGCACTGCTACTATAAAAAATAAAATGTGTCAGTTTGATACTTTTATTTATTCGTAATATATTCTTATGAGATTCTTCATTGGACTTTGTCGTGATTGCGGGTGAACATAGCGGCAAATTTATACGTGTTTCAAAATGATTTTCATTGTGGTACAACTTTGTAATAATATGCAGTTTTGATTGGTCATTTTAATGACGGTATAAAAAGAAATTACGCGGCAAGCTTGCCGTTTATATCGGTATTTTTCCCACTTTTTAACATCAAATTTAGAGTTCTCGTGTTGATCGAGGGCTGAATCGTACGCCATCTGTAAACGAGCGGGAAAGAAAAGTGTTTGAAGGCCGCCGGCCTGCCGGCCGGGCCGAGTAACTCGGGTCTCGGGCGAATCAGTGTGCGAGTCTCTGCCATTTGCGCGTCGGTACGCGGCTACGCGGCAGTGGTGATACCAGAATTCTACGTCTGCTTACCGGTGCGTAGAAAACGCAGGCCTTATTAAGTGCGTTTGGTACCCGAGTACTTCATCGACCTCACAATTAAATCGATCACCATGGCGGATACAGAGACTAAGTAAGTGCAACAGATTTTTTTTATTGATTTATCCGAGGAAAATCACACTTTTTCATTGAACGCTTCCCTAATATTTTGTTACCGAACACGATAACGGTAGGCTAACGATCTTATCGATTTGTAATCCCCCTTTTCATTCATCATTTCCAAGTAATCTCTGACTGAATAAAGTCAACTCACTTTCACAATTTTGTTTGTATCTCGTTTGATTATGTAGTTTTGAAAGCGTACGTACATAGTTTTGTAAGAGTGCAGACACGAGAAAGGGACAACAGGAGAGAGAGGGGATATACTCTCTCTCTGTACGTGATATTCTCAGCTTGATTCGTAAGACACATTACGTTCTCAGGATTACCTGCTTTTGCCACGATGCGTGCTCTACTTGCGGAGCCACTTTTCTGGTGGCATCGTTTACGATTTTATTTTTCCCATTTGTAGCTTCGCGTACGTAGGGCAACGGTAAAGTGGCACACAACGTGTGTCAGCAAGTGTTTGTTATTCAGGTTTCCTTTTTACCACTGTTTTTCACGTTTCTATTATAACGTTGTTTATAATTAACCTATTTTAATTTAGATTACCAACTAATTAACATACTTAAAGATATCGTAATTGATATTTTCTGATATAGTTCTCAATTTTCTGGTACGAATAACTGTATAAATATGTATAGATTTAATAGAATAATATACGTTAATTATATATTTAAAAAGATTTGAGAATATTTTGCTAATGGTTGTACGCGTTTCGCTTGAAAGAAAAAATATACAACTTATTGATCTATTCTCTCTTACTGATTACAGGTTAAAAATATTAATATTAAAATCTTTTATTTCATATTTTTGTATAATAACGCATCATATTTACACGAAGAAACTCTAATACTACTCAAATTTATTATTTCGACAAGAACAAGCATATATACGTATATATAATATGATGTATATTTACGATTCACAGAGCCACGATTTGCCGCGCGCCGAGACATTCTGTATGTTTTCTGTTTGCACGGTGTGCGTATATGTGTTCTCTTGGTAAAGAGTGAGAGAGTTACTAGAAGGGGAAACGAAAGCAGGATAATATCACAACTTCGCTAGGTGCCGCCACGGTTGGCGTCCTATCTCTATTTCTTTTCCTCATCATTCCATCTTTGTCTTTAACTCTGAAGTATAAACCGATACCAGATCAAAAAAATTTGACACGCGCCAAATTTGATTTTAAATTTGATGTTCTTAACTTTATGTTGAACTAATATTTTTTTTTTTATATTTACAAAGCCACAATGTATATTGTATAAGTACGTTTTATAATAAAAATCTATCGTTATTTGCTACTATATTAATACTGTCCTGAAAACTATCGCATTCTATAAATTATTTATAAAATTTTGAAACATTCATGTATTTTGATTTAGGGAAACTAAAGTTGCCACCACTCCAGAAAAAAAAGTTGTGGAAGAAGAAAAAAAGCCTGTTCAAGAAGTTGATGAAGATTCAAAGACATCAGAGAATGGAGACGCTAAAGAAACCAAAGAAAATGGTGCAAGTGAAGAAAAAGAGTCAAATGATAAAGAAGCAGAATCAACAGAAAATGGTGATTCTACAGGTACTGTCTAGAAATAGTAATAAAAGAAATTAAATGTCTAAGATTATTAAATTTCCTATAAATATATTATTATAATTCTTTAAGATATATTACGTTTTATAAAGATAAAATAGAGATATGATATTTACAAGCATTATTTCTTTTTATTTGTAGATGCTCCTGTCGACAGTTGTTGTATAAAGAGGAAATCAACAGCTTTAAGTGATACAACAGAAGACTCTGCCACTGATGGTGCAAGTCCTGAAAAGAAAACAAAACTTGAAGAAAAGTGTGCTGAAACAGAAAGCAATGGAGAAGCAGAAGCTAAAGCCTAATATTTTTTATGCTCATTGCAGACTTAATTTATAGATATAATTTTAACAGCTAACTGAGAAATCAGAACAGTCAAAATTAGTTATTTGTGCGCCGTCTTAAGTTGATGAGCATGAACAACAAGATCAGTAACAATGTATCAATGACTATTTGTGTTCAGACATTTGTGTGTTTGTTGCAACCGTTCTTATGAGTCTAATTGGCAATGGTATTGTCTATATTCAACATCATCATACATTTCTATCTTAAATTAGTACCATTCATGTTTCCTATATTTTTCACACTGGCGTCCATACATATATATGTTCACTAGTACTAGATTTGTAAAGAAAAGGAGATATAAATAATATTAGAAATAATATATTTCTGTTTCATAAGGATAGATGATTGTATGGTGCTTAAGAAAGATATGGAAAATGTTCCATACAGAGTTCTTATTCTTTCTAATGCACACACATGCATATATATATATATATTTATAGACATTTATATATATATTTATATATATATATATACATTTCATATCAGAGATCGAAGAAACAATATTTTTCTGTAAATTAAAATACATTCCTAAAATAATGCTCGCCCGGGGATTATTAACAGTTACTGACAAAAATTAGAAAATTAATTTTATTTGTTAACCTGACATCAACATACCCATTTCACATTACATATACTACTTATGTACAGTTTAATTTTCAACTTAAAAAAAATAGCCGAATTACTACATATTTTGATGCATTAATGTTGATTGTTATAAATCATTTAGATGGTTTTTGATTTAATGTTAAAATAAAACTAACAAAAAACCTATTTCATCATCGGATATTTATCACATTTTTTTATTGATTCTTTTATCGCAATATCACATAGAAAAATTTTAAATTGATTTTTACCGAAATATGTGACAATATGTAATAATTTGTATTAGTGTGTATAGAAATGTTGGTGAGCGGAAATATTGAGTGTTACATTTTGAATAGCAATAAAAAATACTGCATTAATAACTTCAATGAAATGTTGCATATATGAACCTTAAAACTTACATGTGATGAAAATACAGCAATTTTATATGATTATAGAGAATATAAAAGAGGATACTATTGTGTATACTATTTTCATATTAACAATTGGTTTATAACGTTACATGTAAGATTGCTTCTGTATTCTGATTAAACATTTTTAGTTACTTTTTTGCACAAATTATTTTCATATAATCAAAATTGTCGTGTAATATAATTTATAATAAATACTATTTGTGGTTTAAAAACAAGTCTATATCTCGTGCT